ATGTGACCTTTGCGCTTTATCTAGGCTGTCAAATGGTGCCCACATTCCTAAAAAGCAGTGCTCAGAGGAGCCTTTGAGGTTCTGCCACCTTCAGACTTTCTTAACCACTAACTTTATCACTTCAGCAAGAATAAGAGTTACTATTTTACAGGGGTTCTTCTTCACCACACACATTAGTGCCTGAGTTTGTAATTCCTGCCTGAATTTAGTTTTAAGAGATTAAATGACAAACAGTAGCCAACAGTAATAATAGCTAACTTTCATCCTTTGTTTAGCATGTAATTTTATGATGCTCCAGATCAGTTTACAACTGATATTTAACTGCTGGAACGTTTTTTTATTAAGTTTCTTTCCCCCTAGAAAAGTCACCCAGCTTTATACAGATTGTTAACCTGCAGATTTGTGGCCTTGCCTCCCAGGGTTTCTAACTCGGTAGCTCAGGGTCCACACTTAGAGTCTGTGCCTAACTCAAGCTCCATCACATTGTGTTGAAGTTTGCTCAAAACCTACAAGAAGTGTTATAACACTCCTAACAGGATTGTAACTGTATGCAATGTTGACAACACAGGACAGATGTGTGGGCCTTTTTTTCTTCTAAAAACAAATCCATATTGCAATCCTTTGCAAAAAGTTGGTAACTAAAGCAGTAATTGCTAACCCCGCTTTCCAGAACAAAACCCAAAAGAACTTCCTTAGTGTATACAAAAAGTTAGAAGAGCCAAGACAATAAGCTGTCCTGTTCTTGTAGACACAAGTGAACCCAGCAGCACAGGCCATGACTGAAGTCTGCTTCTAGACTAGCACCATTAAAAACAGAACCGTGCCCAGGAATAGAGAAGGCAGCTCAAGACATGGTCCCCTGCAGCAAACCTTTCTCAAGGGTTGGCGGCCAATCACTGCAGTCCCTACTGTAAGGGACTACTGAAGAGAGTCAGAAAGTATAGGAAAAGACAGTGAGTTCTCTATCTGTGTTGCCGTATAGACAGGGCAGAACCACACTGACCGGTGTGTGGCAGGGTTAAACACAGAGCTGAGGAGAGGTCATTATGCAACTTCACATCTGGACTTGGAGGAGTGGCCAGCAGTCAAGAATGGGAGGAAAGAAAGAGTACACAGCAGAGCCCTCCTGCAGCTCGAGGCACAAAGAGCAGCTTTATCCACACTGGGTGTGTTTGCCAAAAATATCAGGGCTGCTGGCACTCCAGAGCTTACAAGGGCATGCTTTTGTGTAGACTAAGCTACCTTGACTGTATAAGAACTCTAGTCAGGGGACAGAACTTCATGATACATTTGTAGCCTAAGATAACCAAATTGGACGTCATAAATTGCCTCTCCCTGATTTGTTAAAAGTATTCCTAATTTAAAGGAAAAAAAAAAAAAAGACCATAAATTGTCACCACAATTCTACTACTTATAAAACAACCCTTCAAGGAAAAAGAGTACTATTTGCACGTTAATAAAATTTATATATGATACTAGACATTGATTTTAACAACAACGTTCCGAAGTCTAAACCTATAATAGCTAGCAAGCGTAGGATGAAAACAAAGCAAAAAAAAAAAAAAAAAAAAAAAAAAATCTGCAGTTGACCTAGAAAGGCTATTGAGTGACTTAATGTGGTCTTCACAAAGGTTGTAACTGACCTCATCCATACGGCCATCATATAGTCAAGCGCAAAGTCATGGAGGCAGTGATGTCACCACCCTCCTTGCTCCCAAGCACAAGGACAGAGAGATACAAATCAAAAAATGTATGCAATTTTACCCTGACCAAATACTAATAATTTAGTTGTTTCAAATCACCAGAAATCTAAAATGGTTCCAATAAAAGAAAGAACATCCATATGTGTTTTCATGTGTTATTTCTTTTTATCTTAACCTTTTAGAGAACTGCCATAACCTTTTAAAGAACGCACTTTACAGATTAGAAAGCTAAATTCTTAGAAAATAAGTTACTTGACCAAAATTCCCTTTATATGTCATAGCTAGGTTTGAACCCGGAACTTCTAACTTCGAAGCCACCCATTTACAACCACACTGTATTGCCTCCCTGAAAAACAACCCTAAAGCAGAAGAAAGAAAGGCAGGAAAAGCTGAGTGAGGAGGAGCAGGAGAACGTTTACATTCATAAGAATGGTCATATTTTTAATTACTGTAAAATCCCAAACTAGAAAGTCACTTGTTACTTAATCTATCGGGGAGTTTTGTCAGTAAATCAAAATTACTTAATTGTCTTTACAAATGTAAAGGCACCACGCACTTTAAGACTTTGGCTGTAATTCATTTGTAGACTACCATCTTAATAGCAAAGATTCTGGCCATCACCACCTACAGTATGTTTTTCAATCTATCGATTAAGATCCTTCATAGAGACCCAAGTTAACTTTTATACTTGCACAACTTTGTAGTCACTCCCCACCCAGGAACTGCAGGACAGACGCTGTGTGTGATCTGAAGGTTAGAAAAGCTTCCTGCTAAGAGTGTGGATGTAGACTTACATAGTAATCAAAAGAGCATAGCTGTAAGAGACATGTATAATCTAAACACTCCTGAGAGTTATTAATTACTTTCTCAAGACTCTTTGAGGCAGGTGAATGGACTTTATTTCTACTTTATCACAAAAAAAGTAACAATTTGAGAAGAGTGGTTTTCCTTAAAATAGTACCATTAACTGTGAAGAGAATTTTCTCTCCAAGATGACATGCAGAGGTCCATTCAGCCCCAGAGTTGGCCTCCACCAACAGCAGAAACAGACATTTTGTGAGAAAGTCAAGTCGCTGTTCTCCAAAGATATCAAATCCCAAGAACAGAGATGTACTTCAAACATCTCTGGCTTCTCCTCCATGCACCCACCTCCTATCATCTCACTGTCTAATATCTGAAGTCCAACTGTCTACTCTTAGCTCCTCTGTGTTCAAACACCTCAATGTTAACAATAGAACTCGGGGGTCAGAAGGACCCTTGAAAAAACACATAACAATTCCTTTGTTTAACTAAGGAGAGAGGAGCAGGAGGGACATTCCCAAGGAAAGTACTTTGTAAGGTTAGTTCATAGCAACTCTAGGCCTGAGATAAAGAGATCTTAACCTTGGCCTCCATGCCTCTTGCTGTCTATAGTGTGTGAGTGTGTGTGTGCGTGTGAGTGTGCGTGTGAGTGTGTGTGTGTGTGTGTGTGTGTGTGTGTGTGTGTGTTGCTGGAGACTGAATACAGGGTCTCAGGCCAAGCACCCTACCACTGAGCTATGTCACCACCCCTTTAAAATGTTATTATATATATATATATATATGCTATGTCAATGGGGGAATACAAATATCTACTTGGTGTTTTCAGGAAAACATTGTGATAGAGAAAGTAACTAGCGTTTGCTCTCCTCCAAGAGTTCCAAGATGAAGGGAAATAAAGGTTACAAAACCTAGTGTAAAGGAAAGGCATTCTGCTTTGCACTGGAAACTTGTTCTAGGATTTTTAACTTTCTAACTGATCAAGGTAGTAGGTATCCACCACAGACCAAATAAAAGTTTACGTCATCACAAGAGGACATCAAATTGGTAATTGCTATCATTAATATACAGATCCATCTAGATATGAGCAATCTTTACTTATATTCTACTCCTTTCCTGTTCTACTGCCATAACATATTTTTATTTTACCAGGAATTTGTACGTACAGCTTTGCAGCTGTGGCTGCCTCATGGAAGAGAAGTTATGGGTGGAAGAGGGGATTTAATCTGCATCACATACTCTTCAATGTTCCTTGAAATTGTTACTCAATACCTACTACTACTCAGTATGCATTAAAGTTTATATTTCCATTTTTAAAACATACTTATATGCTTGTATTTTTATTACTATATCAACAAAACAACCATTTTAAAGTTTTCTTTTTTAGATGAGTTTTCCACATTGCAATTTTACCGAAGTTTTCAGAAAGAAAAAAATAGTAACCAAGCACAATTTCAGACTTTACCAGGATATGACAGAGGAGCGAGATGTTTTTAAGAGGAACATTCGGTTAAAACCCTTCTGAACTGCCTGTATTTAAAAGAATATTTTTAAATGGGCCTTTAGGAGGCCTTTTGGGTGGAGAATCTCGCAGTTTCAAAAGCAGAAATCAAAATGTGTTTGTTCTCCAGCCAGGGACACGGGTCCGGGTGGAGTTTACAGAAGAAAACAGACCATGATGGAGGAGTCCCTCGACTCAGTTCTCCATCTAACTTGAAGCAGCAGCTTTCCGGCGCAGAGCCCTGTCATGCACGTTTCTTAGGCTTGGTTTCAATGAGAAACTCCGTGCAGTGAACCTACACGGAGAAGCTGCTTTTAACGAAGCTCAGAAGGACTTCAGGAATCCATGGACTTTAGCATCCCACCCGCCTTCACCCTGCCTGGCCAGGGCACACCTCGCCTTGCTGTCTGTTTTCACGGTCAGCTGTCAATGCAATCCTTTGTGTCTCATTCAGAATGAGGGCAGCTCAGAACCGCTCTCAGAGAAATGGAAATGACCGGAAGGTGCGCGTGTGACCGAGTGACACTTGGCGTGGACCCCGGCGAACTCCTGACCACGTCTGGCAGCTCTCAACTCCCCCAAGCCCAGCCCTCGCCACGCTCTGCGCGGACACCCATCTGGTGCCCGGGGACCGCTAGCCGTCCCCTCGTGCTCGGGGAGCGGCGGGACGCGCCCCCTCACTGCAGCCTCCTTCGCCCCACACTGGCCGACCACCTCCCTCCCGCCACAAAGGCAGCAGCAGAGCCGGGGTGACAGGCCCGCGGCGAAGGCGGCGAAGCGAGGCAGCCGGGACGGGGACCGGGATGGGGGTTCCCGCTGGCGACGGCGCCCGTCCGGCCGCACGACTCCCTCCGCTCTCCCCGCTGCTGCCTCGCCGCCAGCGCCTCCAGCAGGGTCCGGGCGGCGCTGCCCCGCGCGGGCAGGGTGCCCGGCCACCGGAGGGCAGGCCCTGCCGGCCCCTCGCCTCCCCGCGCCCGCGCGTCCCCGCGGCGGCTCACCTGGCCCCGGCGGGAGCGAGGGTCGGGGTGGTCTCCGCCGCCCCGGGCGGCTCGGCAGCGCTGCGCTCGGCTCCGAGGTGCTAGCGCCGCCGCCGGCTGGCGTCTCTGCGGCAGGGCGCGGGCCGCGCGCTCGGTCCCCGGGGGCGGAGCGAGGCGCCACCGCGGCCGGGGGCGGATTCCTCAGGTGCTGCCCCTCCTGCTCGCCCCCCGCCCCGTCCCCCTCCCGGCCCGAGCGCCCGAGTGGCCTCTCCCAGCTCTGTCGCCTTCGGCCCCTAGGGAGCGCACTGGGCCAGACGCACCCCCACGTGCCGCGGAGCGCTCCCTGCAGCCCTCACGCCTGGGTCTGCGCGCTCCGGGGCGCGGAGGATGCGCGAGGCCACCGTCTTGGGCAGGGAGGCGGCGGTGCGCCGGGGGGGCCTCGTGGGAAGAAGGATCGCCCGCTGCCGCTGCTGGAAGAGGGTGGCCGAGGAGCACGATTATTTCCTCTCAGGGTCCTAGTTCGTCCAGGGCGCTCTCGGTCACTGTGTGACTTCTTTGTCAATATATCCAGTGACAAAGTCCCATTTCCTGGGCCGTGGTGGGTCAAGAGCCCTTAGCCTTCTGCATGAGGTCGGGCAGCAGGGTGCACACAAAACTAACCCCACCCTGGAGCCCCGATACGTGGCCCCTACTCTTGGGTGGTAGCTCCTGGCACCCAGGCTCACCATGGCGCCTGCAGAACCTCTGGCAGACCACAGGGAAGCTTCCCCGGGGGCAGTCGCTTCCAGCCGGCCCAGGTCCGGAGGGTGCTGCCGCCAGATAGTGACAGATGTCGCTCCGGCTTTCACAGTTGGTGGCCGCTGGTATTCAAAACTGCAGCCCCAGTTTTCTTGAACTTTGCCGGAGACACCATGACCATACCTTCCAGGAGAAGCAGCTGCGTGCTGGATGGGGCACGGAGAGGTTGGGCCCTGTTTAGTGCCTTCGGGACACTGCAGCCTCGAGGAGCCATCGGCAGGGAGGTTGGCAGCCTTGTCAAGCATTATGGTCATCATTCTCGGTCTCAGTGGAAAGACAGTGTCAATCAAACCACATCAGCACATGCTCTCCAAGTCACTATTTTCCTCTTGCTTTTTAATATTTTTTTAAATTAAATCTCCCACCCCTCCCTTTTCTTTCCGTGCACACCTTTGTTCTGTGTCAAATTCATGGCCCCTTCTTTTCCAGCTGTTGTCACACACACATACGTATTCCTAAACACTTGAGCGCAACTTTCTCCGTCCGTTCGTGTTGCCTGTGTGTATATGACCTCAGAGCTGACCACCTGGTCGCAGAGGTGGAATTACTGCCGACACTCAACGAAAACAGCATAATTTCTGAATACATTTGTGTTGCTTTTTAAACTTCCCTCTCAAGACAAAATAGTTGTGTGTGTGTGTGTGTGTGTGTGTGTGTGTGTGTGTGTGTGTGTGTAGTTTATTTGGAAGGAATTTCCAGAGAACCAGAGACAACTCAGAATATGGATGAGGTGTATGAGCAGTGAGTATGAATAGCATGAGATTTCTGCTCGGATTGTCTCCTGCCTTAGGGAGACAGGCTTAGCTGACTTTTTTTTTTTTTTTTTATCATTTGTTCCTTCTGGAGTAAAGAGGTAAAATGTTTCCATAGTTATTTTACAGTTGAATGATCCCCACAGCCTGCACGTTAAGAACATATAAGGACAGTTTTAACTGTCAGCAGGGCAAGCTTGGTCAGTCACTGTGTCCTCTGGCAGTTCTGGGCTTTGTCACAGACTTGAATAAAATTGGTGTTCTAAAAATAATTACAACATAGAAGATGCAGATGGTTAGCAGTTTAATTTATCACATTAAAAAAAAAAAGCCCTCAATTTTTAACCACATGAGAACTGACCACAAGTGTGGAAAAGGTAGTTAAGCAGGAATCTAAGAGTCCAAGCTCGCCTCATACAAACTAAGTTCACACCAAGTTAAACAGAAAAATCACATTCAGTGGCACCTATCTATGACCCAGCACTCAGGGCTGGGGTAAGAGTGTGAGTTTCAGGCCAGCCTGGGCTACGTAAGAGGCTGAGACTACCCTGTGTACACAGCTAGTCACCTGTCTCAACAACAAAAAGAAACGAGACAATAGAAATAGCTAAAGCGGATGAGAAACTTTGGGAAAACTCAGCCCCTCTGAGCCTTTCCGAGGCCTGTGGAACTGGGGAAGGACACTGCCAATCAGCAACTTGAAGTGCAACCACAGTGCAGATTCCTGGCAGTTTGGTTCAAGGACTGTTTGCTAGAGCCAAGCACCCTGGACGATGCGGATGTCACAAGTATGGCACAAGGACCTTGTCTAATACAGGATTCTGGTATTCATTCTTCAGTAGCCCAACAAATATGTATAGACCCCTACTGAAAGCCAGCTAGCTTAATGCACTGTTAGTATCAAGCTTCATCATTAAACAAAACGAGTGTTTAACAAGGCTGAAAGTTAGTAATAAAAGTGATAGTAGCAGGTCAACTTACCTGACTCCATCTCCGTATCCCTATTTGTCCATGCTTCGGAGAGTGGCTGACTGAGGTACAGCATTAGCCCCTGGAGCTCTATTAAATGCCTTCTCTATCACTGTCTGTGAATTCTTCCACTGTCCCACCTACTTACTGATGGTTTCCAAATGTTTTTTTACACTACTTAAGTTCAGGAGAGTGCACAGAAATGACAGAATCCTACAAATGATTACTCTAAAAACCCTTTGCTTGGCCACGGGGCAAGTTCTGTGACTATAGCCTGGTACTGCTGTCAAGGAGAAACCCTCCTTTGCCAAAGTTTTTCTTTTTGTTGTTGTTTTGGTTTGGTTTGGGTTTTTTTTGTTTTTTTTTTTTTTTTGCTCCTTGGCACCACACTCTGGACTATTCTTCCTCAGTCGTTACCCTCTGTCATCACATCAGAAATAGGCACTAGAAAGTAAGCTGACTTGGGAGACTTCACAGTTTTCACAGCCCATTTATGGAGCTAGAGTGTGGAGTCTTCAAGTTTCTTTTGGTTTTGTTGACTTCTTTGAAAGCTGGTTTGTGGCTGACATCATTGTATAACTTTGAGATACTTAGCAGACTGTATTATTTTCTTCCATTGAGAGCCATGTGCTATTATTAGTCAGTCAGACCCAATTAGGCAAAGTTTCAACTGCTATACTTTATTTCTTTGCTTTATCCTTCTCCTTTTTCACCCAGACCAAGGTTTAGTAATTCCCATCGCTGTAGACTATAATAATAGTTTATCTCCTCTGAGGAAAAAGGGTATCAAATCTCTACCCAGTGGTAAGGAAAAATCCAACTTCTAGGCTAAGACCAATGACTTGAGAGGTTAAGACTACTGTGGAGACCTAATGGTGGTCTGTTAATTCAGATGTGTTGCCAATTAACAATGCCTGGTGGTCCATCCCTAGTCACAAATAGGAATAGACAAAAAAAAAAAAAAATCACTAACGAGAGAGAGAATCTATCATTTGAAAGAACAAGTTAGAGCAAATGAAAAGTTAGTTAATGCAAGAAACAAGAGACACCTTTTTTTTAAAAAAAGATTTCTGTGTTCATAGTGAAATTTAAAACTAAGAAGGGCAGGTTATCAAGAAAATGGAGCAATCTGAATACCAGGCTGTCCTTGGAAACTGAAAAACAGATAAACAGTAGCCCAGAATGCTGATGCATGCCTATAATCTTAACATTTCAGGGGCTGAGGCAGGAGGCTCACAAGTTTGAGACTAAAAAGAGGTATGTAGCATTCCAGGACAGTCTGGCCAACATAGTAAGATACCCTTCTCCAGAGAAGGGAAGATAGGGCATTGTGGGAGTGGGGAGCTCAAGAACTGGCTGAGTGGTTAAGAAAACTTGTTGCTCTTTCAGAGGACACGGATTTAATCCCTGCCAGCGTCCACATGGTGGTTCACAATCCCCTGTAATTCCGGTTCTGGAGTGTCTGCCCTCTCCTGACCTTTATGGGCACCAGACATACACATGTGGCACAGACATACATGAAGACAAACACATAAAACAAATATGCCTTTAGAAAGAAATGGAGAGAAATGTAGGCCGGTGCTGGAGTGCTTGCCCAGCATGTACAAGGCCCTGGGTATAAACACCTAGCTGTTCAAAAAGTGAGAGAGGGGCCAATCACTACAGTCAGATGTAAACGAAAAAGGAAAGTGAAGTATTATCTACTACAAACTATAAAACATCATTAAAAGAGAGAAAAATGAACGGAGAGACGCACTATGCTGCTGTGTCGCCACGGCTGCAGTGACAATACTTCCCTCATGAACCTACACAGTCCATGTTGCCCCATCAAAACCTCAGCTGCCTTTGTAGAAACTGACAAGTCGGTCCTACACTTAATAAAGAACATAAGGGACTCAGAAGAGTCGAAATGACTTTGAACAAAGAACAAGGAGGACTACAGTGGTTTTAAACCTTGTTACAAAGCAACAGGAAATAAAGACCATTGTAGTGGCATAAGGAGAGATATAGATCAATAGAGTATAATTAATAGTCTAGAAATAAACCCATGCATTTATGGTCACTTAGTCATCAACAATGGTGTCAAAATAATGTGACAAAGAAACAATAGTCTTCTCAGCAAATGGTGTTAGAACAACTGGATTCTCATACGCAAAAGAATGAAGTTGGGCCTCTTCCTTACAGTAAGTACAAAAATTAACACAACATAGGCTTAAATGTCAAGGGTGAAACTATAAAAATCTTTCTACAGAGTTTTAATATGACACAAAAAGCATGAACACAAATGTCCAAGCAGCAAAGCTCACCGGCATGATGAATGAGTGGATACAATGAGACATATCCACATAATATTTGGCAAAAAAAAAAGCAGAGTACAAATACATGCACCAATAGGAATAAATATAAAAAAATGTTATCTAAGTTAAATAAAAGGCCATGTATCCTGTGATTCTACTTATATGAAATGTCTGGAGTAGACAACTCCTAGAGATAGACAGTAAATTGTTGATGCCTGAGGCGAGAAGGTTCCAGAATAAATGAGGAATAATTGCAGATGAGCACAGGCTTCTTTTTGGGATAGTGAAAATTGCTCTAAAATAGACTTAGTGACAGTGTGTCTTTCTGTAAATACAATAAAAACCACTGGAGTGGATGCTTTCAAGGGGGGAATTGTATTGTGTGGAATTAAGGAGAAACAATATTGTCACAGATAATAGAAGAAATATTTTCTGAGATAAATATAAATTTATATATTCAGTATGATGAAGATGACTT